ATCAATTATAATTATTTAGGATATTTTAAGAGCATTAATCCTCATTTTGAACAGTAATTTTATGAAGTAGGTTATTTTGGCTAAACATCAACTTTATTAATATATTAAAAAAATATAAAATTCTAAAATTGTAAATCCTTATTCTTTATAATATTATAAGATAAATATCAACAAATGAAAGATATTCCATATTTTAATAAATGTTTATTCTTATAATAATTTATCAAACATCATCAAATGTAATATATAAAAGCCTTTGTGTATACTTTGTTTTTAAAGATGATAATTTCAACTAATCTTCAGAAAGAGTAATTACCAAGATTTCATCTTTTAACACTATTTTTTCTAACTTAAAAGAGAATGTTATATCTTGGTTTAATGTTTAGTGACAACCATATGAAAATAATATTTCTTCATTATTAACTTCTTTCTCATAAGTATATTTAATAAAGTGACTTTTAACTTACTTATTCTAAATGCACTGGATATTGATTTCTATGTTTATAAATGGAAAACCTGAATTCATAAATTCTGCATATTAACCAACCTAATTATAAACTTATTAATCAAATTCAATGATTTTCATTTGAATTCTACTCGTTTAAATAGGTGTTGTTGTGAAGGCCTGAGTTATGGCTAATTATGAAAATTAAAAATTATTATATTCCTTTTCATAAATATTTTCTATTAATTCTAAACATTATTGATTATAAAATAAACTAGTTTTTGGACAATTCATACAAAACCCTTGATAACATTATGTACAAGACATAGAGCAACTATAAGAACAGTTAATGCATCCATCTTCAAATATTAAATTACCATCGTCACACTATTCTCCAGAAACAACTAATTAGTCTCCACAATTAGGATAGCATACACCATTGATATTAACAAATCCAACCTAACAAGTCAAGCAACCTTGTCTTTCAATACTACAGCTCAAACAAAAAGAATTACATCTTGGATCATGTTCTTATTTAAGAATTTTAACGCATGAATAATTAATATATGAGTAACCTTCATAGCAATCATGACAAACACCCTAGTGACAATTTGAACAAGTAATAGGGCAACTATAAGAACATTAATTACAACCATCTTCAAATATTAAATTACCATCATCACATTCCTCATCTTCAGTTACTATTTAGTCTCCACATATTGAATAGCATAAATTATCAATTCTTCTGTAACCATTCCTACAAGCTAAACAACCCTTTCCAGTAGTATCACAAGTAATGCAAGAGGACTAACATTTTGATTTGCAATTTTAACAACCCTTATAAGGTAATATAAATATATCCTCACATTACTCACCAATTGCTATTTTTGAATCTCCACAAATAGGAATGCATACTTAATCTTCAGATAGGAAATATTCAGGGGCACATTCTTAACATCGATTATTAATACAACTCTTGCATATTTATGATTATTAACATTAAAATCTACAATTATTATTGCATCCATCATCATTATCTGTATTTCCATCATCGCATTCCTCTTTATAGAATCCATATGGATCTACTACTACATATTTATCTCCACAAATATTTTTGCAATAGAACTTCTCAGGCATAAATCCAGGCAATTCACAACTTAAACAAGTATTAGTAGTATAATCACAAGAAGAACATCCAATTCTACAGAAATATTTACAATCTTTGCATCCATCTGTATCAACTTGATTGCCATCTTCACATTATTCTTATCCAACTATTAGTTAATCTCCACATCTTTCTTTACATCTCCAAGGTTAAACAGTTGGATCAACAAAAAATCCACCAGTATTACATTCAAAACACTCTCCTTTAATGCATTTTGTACAGGAGAGTTAACATTAATACTGACAATTAAAACATCCATCATACTAAATAGTGTTCCCATCTTCACATTCTTCCATTCCAGTAATAATTCCATCTCCGCAAATATCAGGACAAGGTAAAGTAGTTGACTCATCACATGTTAAACAATGAACTGGACATTAAAATTAACAATTATAACATAAATCGTCTAAAATATTATTATGATCTTCGCATTCTTCATATCCAACAATTTATAAATCTCCACAGATAGGTTGGCATTCTCCAGAAATTAAATGAAATCCTGAATCACAAAAATTACATGTGTTTGTATGCCATATTTATTAATTATTACTACATAATTTATAACATTAACTTAATAAAGCATCTTCTGTATTTGGGCAATCTAAAATATATAAAAATATAATTACTTGTACAAATATTATTTAATTCATAATAACCAGGCTCACATGTACATTTTAGTCCTTTTAAAATTCTATTTAAAGATGCATCACAAGTTAAACAACTATCAAATGTCTCTTAAAAGCAAGCCTAACATGATGGGTGACACTATAAACATGATTTTGATGTTAATTAATAAAATAATCCTATTGGACACCTACAAGTTGATCCTACATTTTCAATATTATCAATATCATTGCAAGTCAAGCAATCATTGAAAGTAGGCCCAGTGCAAGTTTTACAAAATTAATGGCATCTTTCACATTTTGGATTTAATTAAATTGGATAGTATCCATCAATACAAATACATTATTGATTTTTTAATTATCTATAGTTTGTAGATAAACATTCTAAGCAGTTTGTTGGATATAAGCATTAATTACATTCAATTGGACAATCTTAACATTGATTCGAGTCTTCATATTGATTCAATTTACAAATACATCCTAATTTAGTTTAAATATAGGTAGATTTACATGTTTGACAATCTATTTTAGATGTGCAAGTTAAACATGAAATTGGACAATCCAAACATCTATAAGAATCATTATCAAAATATTAATTAATTAAACATTAATCTTATGAGAATTTAACAACATTTGCATCATAATCGCTGCTCCATTATGTACAAGTATTTTAGTCTTAACATTTTAAACAATATGGTTAACATTTATGAACAGCAACATAATAATTATAAAAACCACAATAAGCATTAATTGGTTCATTATTTTATCCAAAGCATTCCCAATTTATCGTTAATTTTGTTGTATCATGATTTATTCTTTCATATACTCTATCATATTTTATACCATTAGAATATGAGCCAATAACATTGTCGGTTGATTTAGAAACTGGTGAATTATTTTCCACTTAATAAATAAATTAACCATCTGAAGGGAATGCTGGCCCATATAATATATAAAATGCAATGGTGATACTATGATGTGGGTCATCTACAGTATGAGTCCTTTCAAACTTTGCCTATCCCCATATGAGAGGACCTCCAAAAATTCTTTACCTAAGATAATCCCAATATAAAAAAGAATAGTATATATTTGATCCTTTTAAAAAATTGTTCCCATTTTAAGAAATTAATATATATTCTGCATATTATTCAGGATCGTGTGCCAAATCTACAAAGTCTAAACTTAAATATTAAGAATCTAAATATATAGAAAGTTGATACAAGGTGTTTCATTATCAAAATCGTAGCAATCAGCCCCATTTTTTTTTTAATATCGTTCTGAACACCCGTATATGCAAGTATTATTTTTATACTTATAGGATCCAACTTGACAAGTCTTGCATTTAAATGATACCTCACACAATAAACAGAAAGAAGGACAAAATCCTGTAGTAACTTCAATTTTTTTCAATCCCCATCCTGCAGTATTATCACTAATTTGAAAGATATGAATATTTACGAATAATTTCCTATTGCTGAAAAAAGAAATGGTTACTTTGGAACATCAACGTATGTGATTAACTCAATCATCTAATTTGATTAATAATTTTAGAATGAACCATATTATTAGTTTAAATAGATTTTTATATTATGTGTTTAAATTCCTGATTCATTTCTATAAATTGAACCAAAATAAGTATTATTAATTAAAAATTTTANAAATTGGATAGTATCCATCAATACAAATACATTATTGATTTTTTAATTATCTATAGTTTGTAGATAAACATTCTAAGCAGTTTGTTGGATATAAGCATTAATTACATTCAATTGGACAATCTTAACATTGATTCGAGTCTTCATATTGATTCAATTTACAAATACATCCTAATTTAGTTTAAATATAGGTAGATTTACATGTTTGACAATCTATTTTAGATGTGCAAGTTAAACATGAAATTGGACAATCCAAACATCTATAAGAATCATTATCAAAATATTAATTAATTAAACATTAATCTTATGAGAATTTAACAACATTTGCATCATAATCGCTGCTCCATTATGTACAAGTATTTTAGTCTTAACATTTTAAACAATATGGTTAACATTTATGAACAGCAACATAATAATTATAAAAACCACAATAAGCATTAATTGGTTCATTATTTTATCCAAAGCATTCCCAATTTATCGTTAATTTTGTTGTATCATGATTTATTCTTTCATATACTCTATCATATTTTATACCATTAGAATATGAGCCAATAACATTGTCGGTTGATTTAGAAACTGGTGAATTATTTTCCACTTAATAAATAAATTAACCATCTGAAGGGAATGCTGGCCCATATAATATATAAAATGCAATGGTGATACTATGATGTGGGTCATCTACAGTATGAGTCCTTTCAAACTTTGCCTATCCCCATATGAGAGGACCTCCAAAAATTCTTTACCTAAGATAATCCCAATATAAAAAAGAATAGTATATATTTGATCCTTTTAAAAAATTGTTCCCATTTTAAGAAATTAATATATATTCTGCATATTATTCAGGATCGTGTGCCAAATCTACAAAGTCTAAACTTAAATATTAAGAATCTAAATATATAGAAAGTTGATACAAGGTGTTTCATTATCAAAATCGTAGCAATCAGCCCCATTTTTTTTTTAATATCGTTCTGAACACCCGTATATGCAAGTATTATTTTTATACTTATAGGATCCAACTTGACAAGTCTTGCATTTAAATGATACCTCACACAATAAACAGAAAGAAGGACAAAATCCTGTAGTAACTTCAATTTTTTTCAATCCCCATCCTGCAGTATTATCACTAATTTGAAAGATATGAATATTTACGAATAATTTCCTATTGCTGAAAAAAGAAATGGTTACTTTGGAACATCAACGTATGTGATTAACTCAATCATCTAATTTGATTAATAATTTTAGAATGAACCATATTATTAGTTTAAATAGATTTTTATATTATGTGTTTAAATTCCTGATTCATTTCTATAAATTGAACCAAAATAAGTATTATTAATTAAAAATTTTATTCCACAATTAAGTGGAATAGCATTAAAAGTTAATATTGTAATTTTCAATCCAATTAAATGAATTGCATAAGAATAAGTAGTAAGTGATTTGTAAAACTTTTAGACACCAGAATTAAACTTAAAAACCCCATAAAAATCATTAATTACTGTTGGAGATGTATCTAGGTTTAATGGGTCATATATTTGAAACCATTAAAATTAATCCTATTATAAATTTTCGTAACCAATTCCTTCAACTATACTATTTCAATAAAAATAAATACTTGAATAACTTTAACAAAAACCATTATAGTAAAGCGGATAACTAATATCACAAATATCTCTGCATCCAATTCTTTTCATATAAAATTAATGAGATGGGCAGGGCGGGCAAATATTGTTTTGAGGTAATCCATAATAACATTTTGTACATTAATTAGATTTTGGGCCTGTGCATTTTAGACATGATGGGTAGCATTTGGGACCTTAAATATATAAGTTTCTTATTGAAACTTATCCATCATTTGTATTAGATGATGTAAACTACAATTTGCCTACTACTGATGTTGAAAATATAAAATTAATAGTTTTAATGTCGTAATCCATGTCATCACAAAATCCAGTTTTTGCTAGATAATTGGTAGGGGAATTGTAGATAAATGAGTGTGAAAATGAGTCTATCGTAATAGTAACAGTTTGAGATGTCCATGTACCTCGAAAATAAAAATCCACAGATAAAAAAAATCCATTCTCATACTCTATATTATATTAATTTTAAGCTGATGGATATGTGCTATTAAGAGTAATGTAGCTTATTGAAGGTTTTGTGCAAGTTATAAAATTTGCTGTTATTTATTGGTTGGGCAATAAAAAGTTTCCTGCATAATTATAAGCGGATGGCCCATTATTATAAGTATAAATGCTATTATAACATAAGTATTAGTATTTTGGTTCCCATTATGAATTCGAAATATTAATTAAGCAAAAAATAATGAAAACTAGTAATTCATTATTAAATATAAATATTAATGAATTATAAAAATTAAATATATGATTAAATAAATTAAATTTTGCATATTTATATGGGTAATAAATAATTTATATATTTAAACACATGAGTTATTAAACTAAATTGTTCAATTAAAATGGAATTGGAATTGAATTAAGCATGATATAGAAATAAATATTAAAACCTAATTTCATTTATTATGAAATATTAATAAATGCTAAATTGAAGTGAAACAGTAGATTTAATCAGTAATATGAGAATAGGTTTAAGGTATATTTCAATATAGAAATAATTATTATTATGTAGTCCTTTTCATTCTTGATTTTAAATTATATTTATCACTCCATAAACATCAAATGAATTTTTAATATATTGTTTAATTCCTATTACTAATAATCTCTTCAGCCCTTACTTTAGTTAATAAATAAGAATAACAATAAGGATTAAACTAATCAGTAACAAAAATTTAAATAATTGATTTTTTGATATTACTACAATCAGACAATAAACTGCTGTTCTCTTAATGATGAAATTAAAGCATAATTATAATATGAAATAAATAAACCAGTATAAATATGAATATATTGGAATTTTGGAATTAGTAAAATAATTAGAGTAATAAATTTGAATAGACAATAACAGTTATAAATCTTCATTAATTTAAAAAATATTTTTATTCTTAAAATATCTAAGATTGTTTTAATTATGGATTTAATGATAGGAATGAACTTATGTTTATTGTTATTTTTAAAGAAGAATTTATATATTATTAATGAGGAAAGGATGAATACATTAAGTTTAAAAATAAAGCAAAATATAATGAGTATATAAATAATGATTTTTGGGATTGATTCCATTAAAAAATAGGACAGAAGAGATGGCAGATTTTGATAATTTTAGGCAGCAAATAATAAACTCAATTAATAGAATTCAATTAGGTATTTTATGCAAATTAATTTAGAGAGAGGTGATTATAATCAGATTATTTTGGACAGTGAGAATATATTAATGAAAAATTGATTAAATAAATTTGAAAAAGGTAGACAGATGAAGTAATGAGAAAAAACAATCATTCAAAAGAAAAGAAAAATAGAATAGAAATTTGTAATGTGACTAAATTATGATGTTGTTGTTGTAGTGAATGAATAGTAAGAAAAATACTAAAAATTGAACATTAAGCATTTATGAAAAATACTAATTCTATTAAGTTTTTTTTATAAGATAGGGTTTAATTATATAACTCAAAGTTTTTCAAAAATTCACATAATTCAAATTTTTATTAGATTATCTGATATTTAGATTTTTTATTATAAGTAGAATGCCTTTCTTGATAGAATTAGATAATAAATTATGTTTAATAAAAATACTTCTTTTAATTATTTTTATAAATTAGAAATAATATTCATAAATATACTCATTTAAAATGAGAATCAATTATTCAAATTTAACAACAAAGTTGCTATCATTACAGCATTTATTCATCCAAATAATTAAAGTGGCATTAAGAAACTTTAAAAATTTTTACAATTGTTTATTTGAAATAAATATTATTGATTATTTTTCCTTTATCCAAAAATATAATTTTTAGAAACTACCAAAAAGAAATCAATTTTAATTACTATCTGTTGTTACTCAAATCAACCACTTATATCCAATTTTAGCTTACAAGTATTTAATTTGATTAAAATATTTTAATTTTACTCTTTTAACTTATTAAATTAGATAATTAAATTTTTCCATAGTTATAATTATCAGTTCGAAATCTTAATATATAAGTAACTATAAATCATCTTAGACTTATCAGGTTATAAATTACTCCTAATTTAGATGAGAGAATCACTTGTATTTTATAAAGAGGTTTTATAAACCAAGGAACCACTTAAAAATTAAGGGTATAAAAAAAGAATTATTAAAAATTATATCAAAAATTTAAAAAAATTATTCACTAAAATAGTTGCAAAAGTTTATGTGAATAATGTTGAATATTTAAATTATTATAATTATTTATTCTTATATAAATTGTTCATCTCTCAAATAATCATACATCATTGTATAATAATCTTAATTATATTAATTTCTTTTGAATTGCTATCCCAAATTATTAAATTTTCTCCATCATTACTTAGAGTTCCAATTAAGTTTCCAAAACCATTAGAATTCCCAAAATTAATTATTTCTACTAATTCAAATTAATATTATATATTTTCTTCCTTTAATAGAATACTATCCTATTTAACTCTAATTAAATTTAAGTGGCATCCATTCTTATGTATCAGCATTCCTCTTCTACTATTATAAAGAGTGGGGAAGTATTGATAACAGGATTGGCAATCTCCTTTAACTTCAATTTCTCCTGATTTTACATATTTATTTTATAAAGAATTAAAAGTATAAACATCTAATGTTTTTGCACCTAAACAAACAAAATCACATTCAATGATAGGTTAAAATACAAATAGATTATTGTTTATAAAACATATCCTAAACCCCTATTCATCTACTTAAATCTTCTATTTTATTAACCAATAATTTGAATATTTCTATTCCATTATTAAAATTTCTTAATTTTCACCACAGGCAATAACTTAATTTTCATCATCATTTATTGATAATCCAAAAATAGATTGATCTGATTAATATTATTATGAATAAACCCATTATTATTAAAGACTTTATTGATTCAACAATTAAGTCCAAAATATAATTTAGCTGCAACCAGAAATTATAAGATCTTCTTTTCTATTTAGGATTAAACAATTAATATAATTTAAATGTCCTTAAAGTTTTTATATTTTCTTTGGTTCACTTAATAAATTTAATGACCAAATTATTATTTACATATCTTTTGAACCTGATATTAATTATTACTTCTTATTAAAAAAAACTAGAGTTGTAATATCATCAAGATGTCCAAAAAGTGTTTAAACTTTCTTTAGTTTTGAACTTTTAAATTCGAATAAATGAATAATACAATAACTTCCTAAAGCAATAATTATATTATTTTAATCAATTGAAATAACCAAACAAGGATCTCTCCATTTCTTTGAACATATAGTTACGAGTTTTTAATTTAATAAAGGCATTAATTTGAATATAATTAAGATAAATATTCAAGAATATATTATAATATTTTATTATAAAAGTTTATGAATAGAGTTAAGCATTTTTTAGCTACAAGTATAAAATTAAAGATTTGATTATATATTATAGGATTTAACAATGATTTTATCCCTTTTTGGTTATTTTCTTAATTGAGATTTCATATTCATTTTTAGAATTTATTTACTTATGTTATTATAAAAACTAAATGATCTAATTAATATAATCTATATTAATTGAATATAATTAAATCTATAAATGAAATAGAATTCTTATATAGTTGATTTAATATAAAAATTGTTTGATTGGATTTTTTTCCAGAGAAAATGTTTAAACAATCTACTTTATAAAATAAAGACAATTAATTCATACATTTTTATTAAATTTTACAAAATAATAATAATCCATCAACCTTCATTATTTATTATTGTGTTTTCTCAATGTAAATTATGTAAACATGACATTTATGAATTTACATAATAAATTTTCTGATTCAGATTATGTTTTATTAGAACATTTTAATGAATCTTATATTATTTATGCAAATTCTTTTTCATCTTTTATTTACTTATAATTGTTGAAATCATACTACTTATTCTTATTAAAACAAGATATCGTATTTTTTTTGTTATTAAATATAGATTCATTGATAGGATAAGAAGTACACCCATTATCACATGTAACATCTCCTTTAATATTCAGATGTGCAACTGTTTTGCATTTAGAATGTTTACAAGGAAAATTACTAGAAAATTATCCTTAAGTTTCATTTTTGAAGATTTTATTATAGATTTCAATTTATTCTCCAGTTTCTTAATTTTCTATCTATTATTTGTTATTTTCTGGCTTATTAAAATTTACAGGTTTTTAAGCTAATTATTCAGACTTTTGATTATTATTAAAATTATTGCATTATGGTCCTAACTATTTTCTGTTATTAAATTTATTCATTTACAAATTATTATTAGCCTTGAAAGGTAATTTTTAAATTTGTTATAATCTTTGATTCAAAATAATTCTCTGATACTAATATCCATTGTTAAGTAATTTACAAGGTTCCATAACTCTATATTAATCATTTAATAATTGAGAATTTATTTTTTGTTCATCAATACCAGAATTAATATTATTGTTTTCAACTATACAACAATTTTTGTCTTAATAAAAACATTCTAAATTAGAAGAAGGTTTAGGTAGATTTTATCTAAAATTTTCACAACTATTTTAATTAAATTAGCTTGGATTAAAATCAATTAAATTTTTATTCTATTATATAGTATTACATATTAGTAAATTCTTTGGAGGTTCTGCTACACAATTATTATATGTATTTTAATTCTAAGTTGTAATTTTAGGTCTAGTATAATGGAATTGATAATTGTATTATTCTATTTTGAATTCTTAAGATTTATCCTATGTTGGTTAAATTATTTTTTGTTATATATTTTCAACAATATTTGCATTTTTTTTTGGTTTTTAAGAGCAGCCTCCCATAGATAAAATCCACTTATATTAATTAACTAATTTCCATAAATTTTTTTTTTATATATATATTGATCAAATTAGAAATTATTTTTATCTAAAATATTCTATTAATTAAAGAAACAATATATTAGACCTAGATTACAATTTAATTAATATGAATATTAATTATTTAATGATATAATAGAGTTTGATCCTTAAAAACATAAAAAACTAAAATTTTAATTTTGATTTATAATATGAGTTTTTGATCTAGTTCAAATCAGATATTTCATTAATTTGATCAATAAAATCAATTCTAAAAAATATTCTTATTAATAAATGATATCTAACATTCTAAATCAAACAAGATTTACATCAGCTATCCCTAAATTTTCAAAATCATTATAATAATAATTAATTTTATAGGTCGGTTGATTTTTTA